TGAGTGTTGAAAAAACAAAAATAATGGTATTTAGGAACGGTGGAAAGAGAAAGGCAGAGAGATGGAACTACAAAGGCAGGGAAATAGAGGTGGTAAACGAGTTTAAATACCTGGGTTTCTGGTTCTCGGCAAAGAACTACTACACAAGACACACGAGGAAACTGGCAGGAAAAGGACAAGCACTGGTGAATAAGGCTTGGGGCGAGCTAAGAAGAGGAAAGGTAACGGAATTAAGGAAGAAACTATACTTCATGGAGGCAACGGTGAAAGCAGCGGCTCTATACGGGGTGGAAATATGGGGATGGGGAAGGCAAGAGAAAATAGAAAGAGTGCAGAAGAAATACGCAAAGGCGAGCATGGGACTCGCGAGGAACACACCGGACTACATATGCAGAATGGAGGCAGGACTAAGCAGCATAGAAGTGGAGACGGTTAGAAGGGCATCAAACTTCTTGATAAAACTAAGTAGGATGAACGAGGACAGATGGCCGAGAAAGTGCCTAAGGGAGGAAATCAGGGGAATAAGGAACGGACAACCGACTAACTGGGGAAAAGGAATGTGGAAGAAGCTAAAAGAAGTAGGAGATGGAGAGTTACTCGAGCGGCTGTGGAAGGGAGAAGGAAAAGAGGCGAGAAAAAGGGTAGAGGAAATTACGGAAATAGTAGCGGACCAAGAAAGGCAGAAAGACTGGGAAAGGATAGATGGATCGAAATACTGTGACTACTACGGGGATATAAAAGAGAACATCGGAATGAGCGAATACTGGACAAGCAAGAGGCTAGGCATGGAACAAATGATGACGTGGGCAAGATGGAGATGTGGGAACGTACTGAGAGGAGGGAAGAAGGGCTTCGAGAACGGACGATGCAGAACATGCGGACAGGAGGAAGAGGTACTGGAGCATATGACCAACTGCCAGGAAATAATGAAAAGAGTAGGAAAAGAGGACGAGGAGTGGTGGGAAAATTGGCGAGAAGGGAGGGGACCGAGAGGATGGAGAAAGAAATCGATAGCGGAGCTAAGAGATAAACCAACAAAAAAAAATGGAAAGAATGGGAAGAATAGAGAAAGCATTGAGAGAAAAAGAATAGAGAGAAAAGCAGCAGAGGAGAGAGAGGGAGGCAAGAAAGCGAAGTGAAGCAGAGAAGGAAGGAGAAAACGGGCGGACGGAGAAAGGAAAGCAGAAAGCAAGAAGAGAGCAATGAAGGGAGTAGGAGGGGACAAGAAGCAGAGGGAAAGAGTGAGGCAATCCGATGGGAAAACGGAGAAACTGCTGGAAATAGGAGAGGGACGGGAAGGG